CGAGAAAAGCCATTTGCAAAAAAATGCTTAAATTTGGTGACATTTCTTCTCAGCTGTTTTTTTTGTACTTCATTCTAGCAAATAATACAAATTGATAAAGCATAAGATGTTGCGATTTTTGAGCTAGAAAGGTGCCTCTGATTCATAACTCCAGCACCGCATCACAGACATGTGGCAGCGATGTATGTAACTGCTTGTTTTATGCCCTCAGAAAATGCTGAACATGTGCGAATCAAGAGAGCTTTCAGGATACTTATGAATTAATCCAATTTCTTACCTTTCTTGTGGATCATATGCCGCAAATTGCACAGAAACATTTAGCGCCACTCTAATACTGATGTTCGAGGGTTGGACTTTGGGACTGGGATAACCAGTTCTTATCATCCATTCGTTTCGATGGTAAATTGCTACAGGCATATGCCAGGGAATCATACCCGCCTTCATTTTGCTTGCAAGCAACCGTGGATAAAACTTTGCCAGTGTGAGGCTACCACTAGCATGTACTAACCAGTCCGGCTCTTCCCACATACCTCCAGCATTCATGGAGAGCAAATGTGAAGGAGTTTTACCTTTTAAGCGGACAGATTTTTCAAGAATTTCCTACCTTAAAATATAGGCAATTCCAATCAACCAAAAAAAACTTGTCGTTCAGGGGGTTAATAATTAAATCGGTTAAAATTGCCTCACAGCTACAGTTCGCCGTAATAATGTTATAACCATTTAAACATCCAGCGCCAGTAGCTACAGCGGCCGGTCACCTCGATAACAATCGGAAAGCCAACTCACCTCCAAAGTGCAGTCCTCCGGTAGTGGCTATTGTGCATCACAAAAACAGCCGCGGCGAATTACGGAAACAGTTTAGTTGTGATGAATATATGCTCCAGAAGGTTAGCTTTTTTATCCGTCTTACTAAAATCAATAATCTTTCCAATTTTTCACTTCACGCTGCAGTTTCCCAGCAAATTTCATCTTGCTGGAGAACTCAAGCAACAAGTCATTCATGTTACAAACCGATGGCGGATTTAGTGTTTTCCTCCATGGTAATTTTCTCATTACTCTTTGCTCACAATTTAAACTTTTGTAGAACGAGTGAAATGGAGATGAGGCTAGACATCGAGACAACTCCAACACAAAAAAATTTGTGGCCTTTTCGTTATTCTAACAATCGTTAAAGCTACAAGTTTGCAGACCCTAAGTGCTACTGAGAGATCACCAAGAGCAATCATCCAAAACCTTGGGGCCAATCGTCATGTTCATACATTTCATCCTGATTTTCAAAAATCTAAGTTATTAAAACGGTGTGATAATGTCTGGACATTTCAGCCGTCAGTTTTGCCTTATTAAAGTTTTTTTTTTGTAAATGTTCTTAACTGTTCTTAATCTAATCGACTTTATACTTAGTTTAATTGGTATAAAATACTTCAAGGAAGTATGCACACGCCAGCTGAGGGCTGTCTTGACAAAATGTTTTAAAACGCTTTGTTACAGAAAGGATTGCCTTTCGCGAAACCTGACACGAGCGTCTTTTCGTTCTATAGGCATACGAGGGCTTGTATATATATATGTGCTGGAACACTGCGGACCTTACACTGTGGCAGTTCCTAGCACGATCGAATATTGACAAGCATATCCGATTGAGTTAGGACAGCGCAAAATCACTTTAGTCTGATCATCTGCAATAAAAAAAAAAAAAAATGAGTGCATTCATCTTAAATCTCTGAATTGTCAGTTTTGCCTACGTGTATTGACAGACTGAAGGATCGCTTCGCTAAAATATCGGCGCATTCTCTGCAAACAAAAAAAAAAATTATTACATTTCTATGCAATAGCTTTTGCTCCTTACACAGAAAATTTTGAATATAAGTATCATAAAAAAGTTGTTCGGATATCGTACAGAAACTTCAGAATGCAAATTGCTAGAGTACTTCTGCGTAATACTTGAAAAATTCCACACTCAGGAATTTCCTAAGTATGCAGTGTTTCAAGTATTATCTAGGAAACTGCTAAGTATTTTTACAGAAATACTCCAGTTTTGCTAGGATCGTTTTTTGCTAAGATTATCCACACCACTTTCGAGGAATGCATTTGTATTTCTGGGTTATTACATGTATGTAAGCTAATCAATTAGTTTAAGCAACTATTCATGGACGTAATGAAGTACAGCCGAGAGCGTATGTCGAGCACTGCGTATTAGATAGCAAGAGCCTACATTAGAGCCCACAAGCATCGACTTCTTTGCCTCTGCATACACTTGCGTTTTGTTGCTTATTATTAATAGAATAATAATCCAGTCATATGAGCAGTCAGCCGCCTAACTGGCCAAAGACTAATGGCTGTTTGCGAACTTCTCGGAATTACCCAATGTCTAACAGTTATGATGAATTTCTTCCATTCTGTTCATTTAGCCCATTTCAGACTTCCTCATTCTCTCGTAATCGAGGTAAAAGGTGGTCAGCTAGGAATATTTTAGTAACCGAAACTTTATAAATTTAGACACGCAATATCTACGGTTTCAAATGAATTAACTTTCCTTATCCTTATCAAGAAGTTTTCTTGATCTTTCTCAGCCGAAAGAGCCCAAAAGTTTAGCATCTCATAGTTTAGCTTCATTTCAGTATCCTGATAGCCCCCAGCTCAGTATTACTGTGCATTTTTGTGCTGCAACAGTTGCATAAACGCACATTGTCGCGACTCTGCGTGTGTGCTTGTATTCTGAGAGCAATTTGTCCGAGAATTTCAACTCGGAAACCAGAGGAGCTAGGAAGCTGAAATTTTAATAGTATGTTCCACGCCCACATGGGACTCCGCAAATTTAGATGCAACCTCAATGCATCCTCGAGCATCACGTACGACCTCGCGAAAATTTTGGCGGGAGAAGTTATTTCTAAATCAGTTTCGGCCTCTCTGCAATGAGATTAGCATGGCTACCACCAAAACCTCGACACGGCTGATTCCTCGAAGAAGGAAGGAGGTACCTCCTTCGCGTTTGTTCCCCCGATGTGCCATCACACCTGTTTACTCTCGGCACGACAATCGTCCTCATCGTTTTTCAGTGTAGAAGTATTGAAAAACTTGTGCTTTTATAATTTATCTATTAGTGAAGGGCACTTCGGCAGGCAGTCTTTAGTAAAATGGGTGTGCGAATGATTCACTGTGGAGCAATTTGCGATCATTTTAAAATGGCAGAGTTGATGAGCGAGGCCCTCGATCCTGGAACGATCAGCGTAAAGAGCGAGGTGTTTTGGTGCCTCTGGCTGAGTCATATCCTGCTAATGCCGTCTTTTTTAATGCGCCCACTAAACACACAAAATATTAGAAAATAGTTCATTTTGCTGCAAAATTTATTTTTCATTTTTTGCTTTTCGCTATCATTTTTCAAATCCTACAAAATTATTGCTCGTTGCTCAGAATTTACAGACTCTTGGTTGTTAATAATTTTAAGTGAACTTTTTCAGGAAAGGAACGAGCTGGAAGCAAAATTAGCGAAGCAAAGACAGCGAAGAATGATAACAGTGGCTTCTGCTGGGCAGCCGGAGATGGAAATGCAAGAACCCGGAAGTATGACTAGTCCTGCAGCCAGAGCGCCTCCGCCAGTTTTAGATAAAAAGACTTCTTCATTTGATTTGGAATCAGTGATATCGCAGAAAATAGAT